ATAATAATAAATGCAGTAAAAACACAAGAGATTGTTAATCTACAAAGTAACTTTCAATTTGTGATATTGTTAATTGACTATAGTTAATCACACTTCTGATCTGTGATTATCAATCTTGTTTCTAATGATTTTTTTTTTGTTTTAATAGATGAATTCCAGGAACTATTGAACTTTCAAATGCTATGGACAAACAAAAGATTATGCAGGCTTCGAAATTGGCATTGAAGCTATGTTTTCCGGCAAGCCCGTGAGTATTGGTATGAAATGCATAACTTTTTTTTGGACTTTTAATATATTTTTTGGACCATGTGTGCAAGTACATAACTTGTTTTTGGACTTTCAATATATGTTTTCTGTTGTAGCTTTTAATATCACCGCAAACGGATCATGTGAACTTGAGATTCAAATAGAATAATCCACTACCTTTCTAACATCCGAAAGGGACAAGAAAGACCTCGAAGACTCCAAATTCTAGAAAAAGAAAATGAAAAAAAGAAGAAAAAAAAGCACTTGTTGCACTCCATCAATTAAAAATCAAAATAAAATATTAAATCCAATAAAATAAAAAATATTATGTTTTTTTAGAAATTTAAACCACAATGAGAAACAATGAATTTCCTTAAAAAAAACATAGTTATAGAATGAGAATTTATCGCAGCTCCTATGTTATGAGTATACAATTCCTATGTTGTGAGTCATATGTTGTGAGTATACAATTTCTATGTTGTGAGTCATATTTTGTGAGTATACAATTCGTATGTTGTGAGTCATATGTTGTGAGTATACAATTCCTATGTTGTGAGTCATATTTTGTGAGTATACAATTCTTATATTGTGAGTCATATGTTGTGAGTATACAATTCCTATATTGTGAGTCATATTTTGTGAGTATACAATTTCTATGTTGTGAGTCATATTTTGTGAGTATACAATTCTTATATTGTGAGTTATATGTTGTGAGTATACAATTTCTATGTTGTGAGTCATATTTTGTGAGTATACAATTCGTATGTTGTGAGTCATATGTTGTGAGTATACAATTCCTATGTTGTGAGTCATATTTTGTGAGTATACAATTCCTATGTTGTGAGTCATAGGTTGTGAGTATACAATTCCTATGTTGTGACTCATATTTTATGAGTATACAATTCCTATGTTGTGAGTCATATTTTGTGAGTATACAGTTCCTATTCAATATTAATGTGCATCAATACTAATCCAAAAATAAATAAATTAAACAACAATGCAATCAAGGAGAATATCTTATATTTACCACTCTTCTACATCTTATATTTTGCATATGCCACTCTTCTGTAATAAATTTTTTTTTTGGGTTTTAACACACTGAACAGTCTAGCATTTACTGACTGATTAATGTGCATCAAAACTATACCAAAAATTTAAAAACAACATTTTTCTTAAATACTACTATTAAATAAAAATGTAATCAAACACAATAAATACCCGATTTAATGCACGTGCACAATATCTTATATTTTGCTAATGCCACTCTTCTACAACAAGTTTTATTAGCTCCATCCAATAAGAATTCCCAAAAATTAAAATTAAAATTTAACGAGAAGCACTTCTGGAATTCTTTATTGGATGGAGCTAAAAAAACTTGTTGTAGAAAAGTGGCATTAGCAAAATATAGGATACTGTGCATGTGCATTAAATCGGTTGTTTCTTGTGTTTGATTGCATTTTTGTTTAATAGTATTTAAGCAAAATGCTGTTTTTAAATTTTTGGTATAGCTTATAGCTTTGATGCACATTAATCAGAAAATGCTAGACTTTTCAGTGTTAAAACCCCAAAAAAAATTTGTTGCAGAAGAGTGGCATATACAAAATAAAAAATATTCTTCTTGATTGCATTGTTGTTTAATTCTTTTTTTTGAATTAGTATTGATGCACATTAACATTGTGTTGGTAATGAATATGAATTGTATACTCATAAAATAGGACTCACAACATGAACTCTATACTCAAAAAATAGGACTACAACATAGGAATTGTATACTCACAACATATAGTTAATTTTGATATTGTCACCTAAACTGTTCCGATTACCATCCTGCATAAATTTTCTTTTAACTTAGTTGAGTTTATCTTATAAATATTTTCAGAGACAAAACTGAATGTTTTAGATATTTTTGTTACATTCTAAGTTATGTTCATCAATTATTCTAGAAATACAATTATTTGATGTTTTTGTTCATAATTATAAAATTCACAATGTTATCTTGGAAACTTTGTCAGTCTAAAAATGTCTGATTATCTTGTAATTTTCTTAGATTTAAACTCTCTTTTTATTAATATAAAACTATGTTTTAATATTGAAGAAGGATGAAAAAAAAAAAGTAGGAATCTAACTAAATAATATGTTATTTTAAAAAAAATGGTACAATCTATTCATTATTCAATTTTATTTGGATGCAATCTATTAATTTTTAAAAATATTAATTTGGATTCTATATATAAAAAATGTTATTCGCTATATATAATAATGGTAGCTCTTGTTGATTTCATGGCGGAGGAAGTTCTATTTTTGAAGTGATAATGAATGCATTAAATGATAAAATAATGAGATTTTAATGATATATAAGCTTCCTCTATTTTTTTGGGTTGGGTTCTCATAATTTTTCTCTCACACATTCTTGGACAAACAATTGTATTTCATCACTTACTAGTTACTAAGGGCATTTGCGTAGGACAAAATTTTGATATTGTCACCTAAACTGTTCCGATTACCATCCTGCATAAATTTTCTTTTAACTTAGTTGAGTTTATCTTATAAATATTTTCAGAGACAAAACTGAATGTTTTAGATATTTTTGTTAGATTCTAAGTTATGGTCATCCATTATTCTAGAAATACAATTATTTAATGTTTTTGTTCATAATTATAAAATTCACAATGTTATCTTGGAAACTTTGTCAGTCTAAAAATGTCTGATTATCTTGTAATTTTCTTAGATTTAAACCCTCTTTTTATTAATATAAAACCATGTTTTAATATTGAAGAAGGATGAAAAAAAATAGGAATCTAACTAAATAGTATGTTATTTTAAAAAAAATGGTACAATCTATTCATTATTCAATTTTATTTGGATGCAATTTATTAATTTTTTAAAATATTAATTTGGATTCTATATATAAAAAATGTTATTCGCTATATATAATAATGGTAGCTCTTGATGATTTCATGGCGGAGGAAGTTCTATTTTTTAAGTGATAATGAAGGCATTAAATGACAAAATAATGAGATTTTAATCCTATATAAACTTCCTCTATTTTTTTGAGTTGGGTTCTCATAATTTTTCTCTCGCACATTCTCGGGAAAACAATTGAATTTCATCACTTACTAGTTACTAAGGGCATTTGCGTGAGTATGAGCATGAGGACAAAATTTTGATATTGTCACCTAAACTGTTCCGATTACCATCCTGCATAAATTTTCTTTTAACTTAGTTGAGTTTATCTTATAACTATTTTCAGAGACAAAACTGAATGTTTTAGATATTTTTGTTACATTCTAAGTTATGGTCATCAATTATTCTAGAAATACAATTATTTAATGTTTTTGTTCATAATTATAAAATTCACAATGTTATCTTGGAAACTTTGTCAGATGTCTGGTTATCTTGTAATTTTCTTAGATTTAAACTCTATTTTTATTAATATAAAACTATGTTTTAATATTGAAGAAGGATGAAAAAAAAAAAAGTAGGAATCTAACTAATTAGTATGTTATTTTTAAAAAAATGGTACAATCTATTCATTATTCAATTTTATTTGGATGCAATCTATTAATTTTTTAAAATATTAATTTGGATTCTATATATAAAAAATATTATTCGCTATATATAATAATGGTAGCTCTTGCTGATTTTATGGCGGAGGAAGTTCTATTTTTGAAGCGATAATGAATGCATTAAATGACAAAATAATGAGATTTTAATGATATTATGAAATAAAGTAGGAATTTAACTAAATAGTATGTTATTTTAAAAAAAATGGTACAATCTATTCATTATTCAATTTTATTTGGATGCAATCTATTAATTTTTTAAAATATTAATTTGGATTCTATATATAAAAAATGTTATTCGATATATATATATATAATAATGGTAGTTCTTGCTGATTTCATGGCGGAGGAAGTTCTATTTTTGAAGTGATAATGAATGCATTAAATGACAAAATAATGAGATTTTAATGATATATAAGCATCCTCTATTTTTTTGGGTTGGGTTCTCATAATTTTTCTCTCGCACATTCTCGGAAAACAATTGTATTTCATCACTTACTAGTTACTGAGGTCATTTGTGTGAATATGAGCATGAGGACAAAATATGCTCTCGTGCGAACGCTCTACAACGCCACTTCATCTATAAGCATCACCACTTCGCAAATTTTGGCACTTGAAATTTAAACCTCCCCGTTCACGATTGTTCACGATTTCGAAGTTTGCTTGTGGTGAATGTAATTGCTGCGGCAGCCTCAGCTTTCGAAGTTGTCTCTTAGCTTATATTAGATTAGCTTATTATTAGCATATCTTGATCCAATGGCTAATATTTAATATAGACTTCTATATATATATATATATATATATATATATATATATATATATATATATATATATATATATATATATATATATATATATATATATATATATATATATATATATATATATATATATATATATATATATATATATATCAAGATAACACCACATGTATTTTATCACTTCATTTTCAATACAACAGTAAAACTTTACTTTCTTTAGCTTTTCTGTTACGATTACAGTTGGAAGTTTGTTACATTTCTCTTCCTCCAATGGAGTGTTTCACCATTGTTGATAGTGTCTATTATGCCATCAATCAGGTTGCTGTCAGTCTTTCTACAAACTTCTTTCTACTAACTTAAGTGGCTACTTGCTAGGCCGATTCGAACTGATTCGGAATCGAGAGAGTTCAATTTCAATTTATGATTCCAAATGAAAGAATCACTCATTGGTTCGTTAATATTGTTAATTGTGAATATGATTAGTTTGTTACAATAGGTTGGAATTATAATTACAACATACCTGCAGAAAATTGCTTGTTAATAATGTGTGAAACCATTGTAATTTAAACAAACTCGAGTTTACGGAGGCTCCACGAGTTTACCTAGACTCCCTGAGTTCGATACACTTGTTTGTATCACTTCATTTTCGTCATTTTGTTCATTATGAAACCTCTTGATTTTTACTCACATACAAGCTTTTAAGTTTTCCTCTGATTCCTAATAATAATAGAAGAGAATTAATAACATGCAGGCACCATTATGCAGGATGGAGTAGATGTTGTTGGCTATCCTATATTCGATGATGCAAAGGTTTAATATCTTGATTCAAGTTATGACCTGCTCACTCTCTTGTTGCATCTTTGAATACCTTATGCTATGCGTGAAGGCAGGTACATAAAGCTATAGCTTTTGCAAGGAAGGCACACGGTGGCCAAATGCGGAAGGCATGAGATCCTTATTTAACACATTGTATTCATACAGGAAGAATTTTGGCTGCGCTGGTTCCATCAAGTGGTAAACGAGTATGTGCTCTGATTAGTTTTTCCTTTTGGACAACACTGCTTTCAAAATTTCCAACCACTTGGAAGCTTTTTTCTCCTTTTTCCCCACCAATATACTCTGCAGAATGCATACCATGATGCAACAAACGAGTTTTCCAAATACACGCCATTTAATAAGCTTGTGCTCACACCTTAACATTACACAAACATCTGTATGCGGTCATCTCTTATAAGAATCACATTATTGAAATATTCAACTTAACATAGCATTATCAATTAAATTGATACATACCAATGTCATTTAACCTAATTAGTATGTGCATAGCTTTTACTTTGATATATTAATTATCAAACACAATGTATGTGGTGCAAATATTTGATATATTAGTGTGAGAAAGCTAGGTGGAAATGTTTAAGTTTCCAGGTAACTATAGATATACATTAAGGGTTGGCTTTAGCCTTTAGCTTTTATCTGTAGATCTTAGTTGGAGAAACCGAGAGAAGAAGTAAATGAAAAGTTCAAGATATGGAAATATTCCCTCCCGTCTCGAATATAAGCAATATAAAAAAATTTCAACGGTCTTAATTATAATCAAAAATCACCTATAATTATTACATTCAATGTCATTATTCCAAATATAACCCTACTTTTTTCACATTATGTGTTTTTAAGGATTTCCAAGATAAAAAGTAGGCGTAAAATTAGAAAGAATGTAAGACTTAAATGCATTTAAACATTTTTCTTAAAGGTGAACTTTTTGTAAAATTGCTTATATATGAGACCGGAGGGAGTGAGCCTTAGAAACTCATGGTTTCCACTCAAGTAGAAGTAGAACAGAACATATGAAACAAAATATATGAAATAGAGAGACACAAAGGTAGAGATAAAATTTGGAAAATAACAGTGTCTCAAATCACACATTTTAAGTATCTCGGGTCCATCATATATAGTAATTCAATGTAGAGATAGATGTCAATCATAGGTGTGTGGATAAAAATAGTGGAATGTTTCACATGTGATTTGTGATGGAAAAGTATCAATTACATTAAAGAAAATTTTGTTAATTAACAATAACACCTACAACAGGGTTTGAAACTGAATTAAGGCAGTAAAAAGACAACATGAAAGTAAGCTCTGTTTCACAAAGACAAGAACGCTTTGACGGACAGTAGAGTTACAAAAGAAAAGCAGAATTAGAAATACAATTAGTATAGCAAAGGTGTAGAGTGCCATTTTAGATGTTTTGGGCATGTCTAGAGACCTATTGAAGCACTGTTGAGGAGAATTTACCAAATGAAAGATACTCCAATTACTGGAAACGGAGGCAGACCAAGGAAAACTATTGGTCAAATCATTAAGAGTAATTTAAAAAGAAATGATCTATAGTTGGATCTAATGCACAACAAGAATTTATGGCATTAAGTGATTCACGTAACCAACTCTACTTCTAGGAATAGGAGTACTATATATTATTAAGTTTTGAGAGGCTATACTAGTATACCTAAATAATTGTGTTTCATTTTATTGTGCATTTGTTTGATATCTTGAAATTGTGTTGCAGGCTGTTGAAACAATTGTGGCTGGTATTTCACATGACATAGTTGATGACACTTGCCAAAGTCTACATGACATTGAGACAGAGTTTGGGGATGATGTGGCCGAGTTGGTAGCCAGTGTTTCTAAGCTGAGTTATATAAATCAGGTAGCATATAGAGGAAGAAAAGATTATCTTTTCTAATACTTTTTAATCTTGTAGTGGGGCTTTACATCATGGTTGTCAAACTCTACGATTAACACATAAATTCACAAGAGCTTATGACTCTAGGGATCAAAATTGAGTTAACTCACTTTAAAAATCTTGTGTAAACACAGATCGCTTGTATGGAAATCATGACTTTGAAGACGATTAAATGAGTCTATAAGATAATTGTGAGAAATTCTGCTTTATAATTAGTGCATGTATTGTTAGAAATTCAAGTGTGAGAAGTTGCATGTTGGGTTAAAATAAGTTTGTATAACTGAAAATGGCGACATACTTGTTGCTTAAAGGTTTTGTGTCAAGACATAATGTCAAACACATTATTCCATTTTGGTTTAAAGAATGGGATGTGTGAAGACCATTGTGATTTGGAAAGAATACTAGTTTTGGAACTCACATTTGAAGTGGAGAATATTGAAGATTCAAATGTCACGGATGAAGTTCTACACTTGTTTATAATGGATTAAATCAGGACCATAAAAGTAAAAAGAAAAATCTATTTACTGGTTGACTAAATATTTCAATTCAAGATTTGATATCAAGCTCTTTATTGTGGATTTTTCACTGATGGTGGAGATTCTCCAGCTTTTAAGAATTCCCCAAACATTCTAACTTAACTATAGTGCAATACCTTAAGAATTTAGTGATGCCATGTATTATACTATATATATATATATATATATATATATATATATATATATATATATATATATATATATATATATATATATATATATATATATATATATATATATATTAGAGGCCTGCATTTCAAAACTCTCAACAACTTTGATGAGCATCACTGTTTTCTGTTATTACCCTATTATATAATAACTACATCATCTTTTGCAGCTGTTACGCAGACATCGAAGGGTAAATGTGAACCAGGGTGTCCACGGCCTAGAAGAGGTACAGAACCTGCATTTGACACATATAGCAGTTAGCTATTTGGGCTCTATATTTTGGTGTTATGTTAATGATCAATAACCAAATATAAGGGTATTTTTCTTGTAGAAATTTGAGATTGGATCAATATTTTACATAAGCTGTTTTACTTTTGTTAAAAATATATATTTTTAGACAAGGGAGGAGGAATATTATTATTCCCCAATGCGGATTCAAATTCACTCCATTTTGATTACAAAACCAGGCATTCATCGTTGCACCAACAATCATGGAATTCACTATGTTTTATTTTATGAAACTAATCTTCTACAAAAAGTTTGATCTGACAAGTTTTTGTATCTGCCATTGTAATGCGTCTACTGGTTGGTAAAGATATTATTGAAACTGTGTGCCTTTTTAGTTTGTAGAACGTAAGTATATTGGGAAGTGGAATTGGTATCCGAAAGTTTTCTGATGCGTTTCATTCTTAATCTACTAGGCAAGTAATTTACGAGTCATGCTTTTGGGAATGATTGATGATCCACGTGCTGTGCTCATCAAGCTTGCTGATCGTCTTCACAACATGAGAACAATGTACCAGTTCCGAGCTTCTATGTCTTTTTCCCATTATTCCCAATTATTCTGTCTTTTTTTTTTGCTCATTTTTTCTGATTCACTTCAGACTTGTCATTCTTTCAAGATGACATAAAGATTACTTCCTTGCAATAGAAGCTAGTTCGGATCAATGACCTTAAGCCATGCAGTGTGTACAACTTTTTGGATATAGAGTTTAGAATTTATAAGTATGTTGCATAGGTCGTTTTATTGGGTGAAAATATTTACTTTGCAGTTATGCTCTGCCATTACATAAGGCTCAAGCTGTTGCAGAGGAGACATTGATTTTTTGGTGTTCACTTGCTTCGAGATTGGGTCTGTGGGCATTAAAAGCTGAACTTGAAGATCTATGCTTTGCTGTTCTACAGGTCTAATAATATTTTTTTTATGTTTCTTTCAATTTTAGAGTCCTCAATTATATTGATTTATTTATAACATGACACGGAATAAAGCTGACAGACAGGGGTCCTCAATCACTGTGAACATCTGGCCACCCAAAAGAAAGTGCTTAAATTATTTTTTCTCATAAAACATTTGATCATCATTTAGGGAAATAGTAATTAGGTCCTTTTCTTTATATAAAGTGAATGATCATCAGAAGTTATGAAAATTCATTCCTGCTTTTGGATAGGAACAGCAATCTAATAGTACTATTCAGATGACATTATTTTTACAGTATCATGAATTATCACCACTTGTAATTTGTATCTTATTTCAGCCTCAAATATTTTAAAACATGCGAGCAGATCTGGCTTCCACGTGGAGCCCTTCGGCTAGAACAGGAAGCTCGAGAAGATTATATGTGAAAGGCAACTTGATACCTTTGGATGAGAAAAGTTCAACTTCTTTCAACAATAAATCTGACATTCAATGAGGGTGTATATAGTACGAAGGTAAGAATTTGTAAGTGCAGAGTTCGTTATTCTACTTGTTTGTATGCATGATCATGAAATTTTATTAAATGATGTTTTATGGTGTTCATAGGTAGTTGCTTTTGGGTTTAGGCTGGTACTTATTGCAACAGTAACAACTCACACCTAAATGCTTCTGTTGTGCCTGACTATATAGCATCAAACAGCGATATTCTTGTTTGTTTGTTTTGTATTTTGCTTTTTGTTTGTGCCCAATGAAGTTCAGAATATGGTAAGCTGAATCTTTCAAGTTAAATAGGTATGGGGCAGGTGGAAAGGGAGACCCGGGAAAGGGAGAAGAGCGCGTGTTTTTCTCCATCTGATACACCATTTTCAAGTTTCAGCAGCATGCAGTAATATCCATGCTAAATTGCTGTTCGACTTAGAGCGTATATCTCCATTATTGAGAAGTTGAGTTGCATTCCACTCTTCCCCGAACTTAGTTTCTTCTCCAACTGTTGTCAAAAATTCTAAAGCATGTTAATACTCATAATTTCTGCCTTTCGGTATTACACTCTGGATTTCCCAGCTACAAGAGGCTATGACTTGATATGCCACTCTGATTTGTATCTTATCTTTTGGTGCATATACTTCCATTCTTCTCGATGGTGGAGTTACATCGAGGCAAGAATTCGGATTTTTAGGGAGAATTCCGGTAAAGTCCAATACTCATTAGCGAAGAACTTAATGGATGAATAAGTTCTGGTACAAATGAGTGATTAATAACAGTTCATGTGAGAACTAAGGTAGTTAGAGATCCTAAAGGAAATTAGCTGACCACCGTGAATGACCAACTAAATAAAAATGCTAAATGAAAATATTAACAGTATGTAAATATTCTAACATACATTATTTTATGTGGTGTGTCAATCACATATCCCACACTTAGAACTTTACAATGCCAAATATAGTATATCCACTAAAGAGAGTTTTTAAATAGTTACATGTATTAATTGCAAGTATTTTATAGTAACAAAACTTTACAATGATAATCTTATCTGGCTATCTCCTATTTGAAGTGACTCTTTTGTAAGCCTTTTTCTTGATGTCATAGACCCTGATGATTGATAACTAAGGATTATTCTTTCTTCATTGCTTCAACAAGTCCTGTGAAAGGGTGAGAACAATTTATTCATTCTGATTATGTCACATTGTTTTCAGGATTTGTTGGAAGCTGTAGTCCCATTTGATGTACTGTTGGATCGGAGAAAAGGAGCCAACTTTCTCTAGTATTGCTAATAATCTGGAAACATGCACAGCACCGAAGGTTGTCCAGGATGCTGGATTAGCTTTGGCATCATTGGTAATTTGTGAGGAAGCCCTTGAGCGAGACTTGGTTATGTCGGCTTCGTATGTTCTTGTGCTCATTATCCCTAATGCTGTGTTTTATGTAGCACGATTTATGTGCTGACTGTTAGAATACTATGGTCTAACTCTAATCAATTTTGTAAAAGTTTCCTTCTGTATTTACAGTTATGTTCCAGGAATGGAAGTTACATTATCAAGCCGACTAAAAAGGCTGTATAGTATATACAGTAAGGTATCAGCAAATAAACTTATTAACATTTGAATTAAGAATTATGTCCATTGTGTTTTAGCTATGATCGCTATATAATTATGTAGAACCATGACATTATTTAAAGAGTTAATTATGATTATCCAAGTAAGTTTGAATAAAGCGTAATGCAAGTGAAATTGATGCATATATGGGAAGTTTTGTAAAAGACCTTGGAGAAAAAAAGAGAAGTTAAGTTCCGTGGCTCCCATTTAATTAGTCCATGTTGATCACGGATTAGTGAAAACAAGAATAGCCACTGAGAATTTTATCGGGTCGAGTCGCGGTTCAGTACGCTTTCTTTAAGACGTTTCGCCGGATGCCAACAAAGTGCAAGGCAGTCGATAATAGGCGACGTCTCCAGGATAAAACAGCCCGTTCGAATAAAATACGATTATCACTTGCACTGTGATAAATCGTTCGATGAATAACACCTTCTGATGGTGTAGAAACCACTCGTAGTATCTGGCAAGAAGCAGTCGAAAAAACAGAGAAGGAAAAAAAACTTGAGATGAAGCAGAATAGAGAGAGAGAAGAGAGAATTCGAGATATTGAATTCTGGAGTTATTTGCAAATGAAATAAGCACGGATCCAACAAAACGGTTCGAAAAAGTAGGAAGAACGTGGGAGAGGGTGGAATTGGCCCAGTCAAAAGTGACCGTTATTTCTGGAATTAATGCTAATTAATTCCACCGAATTAATTAATTATTAATAATCATTAATAATTAATTTTTCACCAAAATCCGGTTCAAAAAGTTAATTCATCTAGATCGAACCGAGCCGAGCCGGTCGGACGGACGGACGGACGGCGGCGGCGGCGCGCGCGCGTGTGTGTCTAGATGACTTAGTGTGTCGTCACTCCTTAACAAAATTGGGGTGCCCCTTGGGGCCCAACCCAAGTGTCCAAGTTGGAGTATTTATGCACTACTAAAAGTTGTGTTCCCTCCAATGTGGGACTAAAATGAATCCTTTCAAATTCACTCACAACCTAGTTCATTCATGTGCTCATTTATTGCCCATTTAATGTCAATGAATCATTCCAATTCCCAATCCAAGTTATCATCATTCCAAGATTTCCAACAATCCCCCACTTGAATTTAAAAGGTGATTTTAGAGGTAACGTCAGACGTTTCTAAGATTGTGCATAAGCAAAGGTGTCTATGACTTGAACCTTTGCGTAGCAAGTAGGATTCTGATTCAACAAGAGTGACACAATTGTCTTGAACTCTATCTCAGACATCAGACCCGCACACAACCTTTTCTTTAAGGTGTATTCTAATAGCCCGTGCTTTAATGGCCCTGCACGTGTATCCCGGTTTAGTGAAGGCTCTAGGAATTTTGCCTCGCAATTCCATAGGAACCGACCCAAGTTCCACAATCACCAAGGTGAGTCTATCAAGAGTACTCCTGTAGTCTAGGTACTCCCTCATACAGAGTATAGATCTCATTAAGAGTTTCTATTATCTCAACCTCTTATTACTTCAGGAATCATGCTTCTCTTGCATGATCATTTCATATCACTCACAACTTGTTATTACCTATTGAACCTATTTCTTGGGATCTCCAGTCATTTAGGTCGGGTTACCATTGTGAGTAACTCATATTTATATAGGCATTAGTCCCATCTTATATGATGTGTTATAGACTTTCTCTCTAGCTAATCCTTTCGTCAAAGGATCTTCTAAGTTTTCATCAGTGCGTACATGATCCACTCTTACAGCTCCTTTAGAGATACAGTCTCTAATGGTGCTGTGCTTTCTTCTTATTTGACGTCTTTTACCATTATAATAACGGTTCTCAATTTTTGCAATAGCCGCGGTACTATCGCAGTGGATCAACACAGCTGGCATAGGTTTTTCCCATACGGGAATCTCAGCTAGCAAGCATCTTAACCAACTTGCTTCTTCACTAGCTGTGGCTAGTGCTATCATTTCAGACTCCATTGTGGACTGAGCCAGAATGGTCTGTTTCTTTGATTTCCAAGATACAGCTCCTCCGGCTATACTAAATATATAGCCACTAGTAGCTTTGGAATCATCTGACAAAGTATTCCAATCAGCATCACTGTATCCTTCAAGTACAGCAGGAAATCTCTGATAATGTAAACCGAGGTTCACAGTCTTTTTAAGATATCTCATGACTCGCTCAATAGCTTGCCAATGTTCATTACTTGGTCTACTAGTAAACCTGCACAATAATCCCACGACATATGCAATGTCAGGTCTAGTACAGTCAGTAGCATATCTAAGACTTCCAATGATACTTGCATATTCTGTCTGTTTAACACTTTCACCAGTGTTCTTAAACAGTTTCATGCTTGGATCGTATGGAGTGCTAGCAGGTTTACAATCAAAGTAATTATATTTCTTTAAGATCTTTTCCACATAGTGTGATTGATCCAAAGAAATTCCTTGTTTGGATCTCGTGATCTTGATACCGAGGATTAAATTTGCTTCTCCCAGGTCTTTCATATCAAAGTTGTTGCACAACAAAGATTTCACATCATTAATAGTCTGAATGTTTGATCCAAATATAAGTAGATCATCTACATAAAGACATATGATAGTGCAAATGCGATTCTCAGATTTGTAATAAACGCATTTGTCACTTTCATTCACTTTATATCCATTTGATATCATTAAGTTATCAAATTTTTCATGCCATTGCTTAGGGGCTTGTTTTAGTCCATATAGAGACTTGTCTAACTTACAAACCTTGTTTTCTTGTCCATGGATCACAAACCCTTCTGGTTGTTCCATATAGATTTCTTCCTCTAAGTCACCATTTAAAAAGGCTGTTTTAACATCCATTTGGTGTACTATTAAGTTATAAATAGCAGCAATTGAAATAAGTACCCTAATGGATGTGATTCTAGTGACTGGAGAGAAAGTGTCGAAGAAATCTATATTTTCTCTTTGTCTAAAACCCTTGGCTACAAGGCGAGCCTTGTATTTATCAATAGTTCCATCAGGTTTTAGTTTCTTTTTCAGAACCCATTTACAACCGATCGGTTTGCAACCAGGAGGCAAGTCTACTAAGTGCCATGTCTTGTTAGAATCTAGGGATTCTATCTCATCATTTATAGCTTCTTGCCATAAATCTGCATCTAGAGATGACAATGCTGCTTGAAGATTTATTGGATCTTCTTCTATATTATAAGCCGCATAATCAGGCCCATAGTCTTTAGCGACTCTTACTCTTTTACTTCTCCGAAGTTTTGTTTCTACTTCGTTGTTGTTTTCTGTACTTCTTATCACAGGAATGTGACTCGATTGGGTGCCCCCACTATTTCTCAGTTTGAAAGGAAATTTGTCTTCATAGAATTCAACATCATTTGATTCTATGATTACTTTTGCATTTAGGTCATAGAACCTATATGCCTTACTGTTTGCTGCATACCCAATGAATACACATTCATATGCTCTACTAGCGAGTTTAACTCGTTTCGGATCCGGAATTCTGACATAAGCCAGGCAGCCCCAAGTTCTCAAATAAGACAAGTTTGGTTGTCTTTTCTTTAATATCTCATATGGTGAGATCTTACTTTTTGACTTGGGGATTCTATTCAGGACGTAGCAAACAGTCAATAAAATTTCCCCCCACCAGTGAGGAGCAGCACCAGAATTTATCATAATTGCAACAACAAGTTCGGTAAGAGTCCTATTCTTTCTTTCTGCTTTACCATTCATTTCAGGAGAATATGGAGCAGTCGTTTCATGTACAATTCTATGTTCTTTATAAAAATCATTAAATAAACCAGAATCATATTCAGTCCCCCTATCACTACGAAGTCTCTTAATCTTCTTACTAAGTTGATTCTCAATTTCAGTTACATATATCTTAAACATTTCAAGCGCTTCACTTTTATTCTTCATTAAGTATACATAAGTATAATCTGAATAATCATCAATAAAAGTGATAAAATAACGTTTATTGTTTCTAGTTAAACTTCCATCTAATTCGCATATATCAGAATGTATAAGATCTAGGGGATCAGATTCCTTATTAATTGATTTATGCGAAGTCTTGATTATTTTTGCTTGACTACAATATTCACATTTATTTGTATCATTAATACTTAATTTAGGGATTAGGCCCAAGTTGCTTGCATTATGCATAATTCGCTTATTAACGTGACAAAGTCTAGTATGCCAAATATTAAAATCACACAAAGAGTAAACAGAAGGAGAAATCTTATTAAAATCAACATTCAACTTAAACATGCCATCAGTGGCGTACCCTTTCCCAAAAAAAATACCATTCTTAGTGATGGTGTACAAATCTGCCCCTAGAGTTTGACTAAACCCTGCCTTATTTAAAAGAAAACCAGAAACAAGATTCTTCCTAATTTCAGGAACGTGCATGACGTCCTTCAAGATCAAAGTCTTTCCTGAGGTGAATTTCAGCTCAACATCCCCAATTCCAGCAACCTTAGTGGTGTGAGCATCTCCCAACAACACTTTCTTATCTTCAGCATTCATGTATGTTTTGAACATAGCACGATCGTAGCAGACATGACGAGAGGCGCCAGTGTCTATCCACCAACCATCACTTCCACCAACCATGTTGACTTCAGTGATCATAGCAATGAATTGCTCATCAGTCAGGTTAACCTGAGCATTTGAGCCAACAACAGGTTTAGGCCTGCTCTTACACCTTTTTGCCATGTGACCCGGTTTCCCACAATTGTAGCAAGTGAAAACCGGAGCATCATTTCTCTGTGGTGGTGGTTGCTGCCTAGCAAGTGGAGCATTTGGGGCCCTAGAGGGATTCCCATTCTTAATTCGGTTCACAGCATTGCGGTTCTGATTCTTTAATGGTTTGCCCGTAGGCTTCAAAACCGCACCGAATCTCTT